ACAGGGATTAAAGTTCTCCGTTGTTACGACAGATTTCCGTCAATTTCAAAATTGTAATATTTTTATTCAGTGTCAGTCTGACAAAAAAGTCGAGCAGAATGTGGGTTAATGACAAACGTGCAAACTGTTGTTTTTATTGTCAGGCATTTATCTGAATCCTGTAACACAAGTGTAGTTTTGCGTCTATGTGGCATTTCAATGGAGGCTACAGTCAGAACTTTTATCTGCTACTGAAGTCCGCTCTGTGTAAGATGCTTTTATTGTGGTAGCAAGGATCAGCGTGCACTGCCCGTCATGTCCGGACTTTTTTTTAGGCTCCGTGCGCAATTTATTTACCCGCCAACCAAAGAAAAAAATACCAGGGAAATAACAATCCGTAAATGACGGAGTTTACCGTTAAAGTATTATTACGTGCAGGCAGAGCAGACAGTCGCCGAGTGATCCGCTACTGGACACTCTCTCTAAGGAACGTGCGTCAAGACAACAGGTGATACAACACAGAGCACCGCGCGACATGAATCACCTTTTGATACCTTCGGGGTTTGACAACACAATTTTACGTGTATTTATTGCTCAACAAGCTAGCACTAGTTTAACTTTTTACTTTTAACGACTGAGTGGGTAAAAGTTTAAAATACAGTACTGCATAAGTTCTTTCCAGTGTCAAAAAAAAGCCTTCTTGTACTCAATAAAAATATACTTTGTACTCCATTGAATTTATAGAAAATTTTAAATATCTTTGCTAGTTACTTCTCAGATTCAGATTTATAATGCAAAATAGGACGAATACACCATTTGTCAAAATATCTTTATTATATGCCCTGTGAATTCACAAGGTATCCACCTATATGTGTGTAAATCACTCAAGTAGGATTAGCTCCAACTGTAGCAATGACAACACAATGAGGAACACATTAATGCATTTAAAAAAATATATAATAATAATTATAATATATAAACTTAATTTACTTTTCAGAGTTTCACTTCTTTAAAGTTTTGTATAGAACACCTGCTGTACATGTAAGCTCATATCTGTCAGCCTAGAATTTAGATAGAAAACACTCTATTCAAATCGTTTTTTTTAACTTGTTTTTGACCTTAAAACTTTTCTTCGTTCATTTTTTAACCTTGAAAAGAAAATCACTCTACATTTTCAAATGGAAAACAAAAAAAACTCCTCGTTTTTCATCACGTAATATCCATGAGAGAGATGCACGAACCACTAAAATATATTACTTTGTCCGCCATAAAACGACTTAGTCCGATGGTGGTGGCTGGGCGTCAGGGACATCGGGGTGGGAGAAGTTCCAGATCAGCTCGTTCTGCTACTCAAGAGTCCGGTTTGTGCTGCCTGGATAAGGACTCCTGGGCTTCTGACACACCGATGCTCTCACGCTGGATTAAACAATAAACCCAATCCGACCGGTTGTTTGTTTATTCTGTCGTTTCTTTAATCTCTGCTTTGGGTTTGTTTGTTGTTTTTTTTCTGCTCACTGCAGCAATCAGGACAACTATCAGCTGGTTCGTAAACTGGGCAGAGGGAAGTACAGCGAAGTGTTCGAGGCCATAAATGTGACCAACAACGAGAAGGTGGTGGTGAAGATCCTCAAGGTGAGGCTCCGTCTGGATTATTTACACCTCTTTGATCTGAATTATCTCAGCTATTAGCTCGCCACAACAAACTAACGAGGGGATTATGAGGGCCGCAGTGTTTTCTGCCCCCCTTTCTCTCTCTCCTTCTTCGCTCTCTCGTGGTACAAAGAGGTGTTCCTGCTCTCTTCACAACTCCGCCATTTTCCCCTCCTTGTCCCAAACCTCACGTGAGGAACTTCTAATAAATTAGGCCCCGTGGCAACTTAGCGTTTTTTCCGGGCAGAAAAGCGCCGGCTGTGCTTCTCGGGAGTGTTTGCACTGAGCGCTGAGAAGAAAAGCGCTGCACGTCCATCCTGTCTCCATGACAACAGTCTGTTGACAACGGCCGCTGTATGACCGACACTGCTCCGTTACTTTTTACCTTCAGGGGTGCAAACTTGTCACCTTTTGGCAAAATTTGCCGTCTTGGATCCCAAATACGTAATTTCTGTGATTAATTTAGATCTGCAATAAAAAATATTTGGAGGAAGGTGGGGGGGATAAATCTGCAACCTTATTCATGCTTCTTGCGGCCGGCGAGCGCGGACCCTGTGAACATCGAGTCGTTTCATACTGACTGCAGTCAGACATGGACCGACGTACTTCCGGGCCCTGTAGCCAATCATTGCAACGCGGTTCATGCGAACCTGTCTGTGCGAACCTGTCCGCGTTGTTTCAAAATCTTGGAGATGCGCGGCTGGGCGATTAGACCCTCTGCAGACCCTCCACTCACCGGCCACGATTGCGCAATAACGCCGCGTCGACCGCAAGAAGCATGAAACCTGATTCAATGAGTGGCATAATTGGCTAATTTACATTACGTTATTTTTCCATGAAAACACTGGAAAGATTTGAAGTCTGGCTAGCAAGCCATTCTTTCTGTTAAACATCCTGTCTGATCGTATTTACTGTTTGGTAGCCATAGGTAAAGATGTTGAGAGAAATGTGTGCTAGCTTGAAGGTAACTTCATCAAGCTTTCTGTTTTATTATTATCTCAGGCAACATTAAAGTTATAGCTGGTCAACAAATATAATAAGGTAGGCCAGAGGGAATATAAACTGAATGAAAATCATCAGGAGCAAAACATCAGGTTAATATATTGATAATGTTACATATTTAATGATAGAACAGAAAATATTGTCATTCTTGATGACTGCAGTATGATGCTCTCTCAGACTCTTTCCCTGAGAGCTGCTTGCAGTGACTGCCCTTCACATCACCCCTTAGTGGAACATGCCCTGTTCTGCAAATTCATCCTATTTATAAAAAGGGACTCAAGGTTGTGTTTTTCTTATTGTTTGCACCACTTCTTTAGTCAGTCTGAATGCTAAAGTAGTCTGTAAATTCACATTTTAAAGTTGATATTTTTTTAAAATCTTCCGCCCTAGGAGGTTTGGATCCATGTCACCTTTTTCATCCCTGATGAGTTTGCACCCCTGACTTCATGTTTTATATTTGAGATCAGACACGGAGTGAGGAGGATGTGGGTACAAGATACGATCTCTCGTAGGCTAAAATACGGGGAATATCATACAATTTGAAAAGAGCGCCAGTGACGTCATCAGCGCCTTTCTGAAAAGTTGAAAGATTTTCAACTTTAGCGCTCGAAGCGACCGCACAAAACCAGCAGAGCGCTCAGAAAAAAGACGCTGGATGGCTGCTTTCTGCTGAGAACGCTCTCTACTCATTGAAAACACCTGAAAAAAGGCAGGGTAGAGGCTCAGTTGGTAGAGTTGTTGCCTCTCAACCGGAAGGTTGAGGGTTCGTTCCCCAGCTGAGCAACATGTCCGATGTGTCCTTGGACAAGTCACTTAACCCTGCATTGTTCCCACTGCTTTGGTGGTGGTGTATGAATGGATTAGTGTTGTACTTACTCTCTGATGTACGTCGCTTTGGATAAAAAGCGTCTGCTAAGTGAATTGTAAGACGCTGGCGCTCAGAAAAAAACACTAGGTGGACACGGGGCCTTAAGAACACGACATGGTAATGTTCGAACACATTTGCCCGCCACACAAAACATTTGTACACACAGATATTTGCGAGCCAGCATGGAGAGTTGTGGGTTTGTAGCGACCCTGTGTTTCTCCTCCAAAGCAGTGGGTCGCCGTCTGCAGAGAGACGAGTCTTACTCGTGCCACAACATCACTGTCTTCATTCACTGAGGTCAAGAGGTCATGTAGTGGTCATGTTAAGATGAGAGCGCCCTCTGCTGAATTCAAGTGCAAACGACTTCAGACGGCTGCAGCGCCGAAAGACTGAATATTTTGAATTCAACGGCTCATGACAGTTCGAATGTGAACTTTCTCCCCCAGCCATACCTTCTTCTTCTCCCCGCCATGTTTACTAGTTCGTAGCGTCTTGTATGCTGCTGGCGAGCTGCTATTGGTTGTTGACGACGGTAACATCATCAACAATTTGCTGATTTCTTTTGTTTTATTTCACAGCCGGTCAAGAAGAAGAAGATCAAACGAGAGATCAAAATTCTTGAGAACCTGCGTGGAGGAACTAACATCATCCGCCTGGTGGACACGGTCAAAGACCCAGTGGTGAGTCTGATGCCGCCACTGTGCGGCGTGCTACGTGTGGCGTGCGGCGTGCAGGGAGAGGTGGGACAGTGTGTGTGTGCAGTTATAATGTTCTCCCCAGTGACGTCTCGCGTGTCTTTCTCTCTTTCAGTCCAGAACTCCAGCGCTCGTCTTTGAGTGCATCAATAACACAGACTTTAAGGTACCACACACACACACACACACACACACACACACACACACACACACACACACAAACATTTTCTGTTAAACCTCTGACATCATGTTTGTTGATGTTGTTCTGCAGGAACTTTACCAGAAGCTGACGGACTACGATATCCGATACTACATGTACGAGCTGCTCAAGGTAAACACCACAGACTGGTTCATGTGACTATAGACTGGTTTAACTGGTTCATGTGAACACAGACTGGTTTAACTGGTTCATGTGAACACAGACTGGTTTAACTGGTTCATGTGAACACAGACTGGTTCTTGTGACTATAGACTGGTTTAACTGGTGCATGTGAACACAGACTGGTTTAACTGGTTCATGTGAACACAGACTGGTTTAACTGGTTCATGTGAACACAGACTGGTTTAACTGGTGCATGTGAACACAGACTGGTTTAACTGGTTCATGTGAACACAGACTGGTTTAACTGGTTCATGTGAACACAGACTGGTTTAACTGGTGCATGTGAACACAGACTGGTTTAACTGGTTCATGTGAACACAGACTGGTTCTTGTGACTGTAGACTGGTTTAACTGGTGCATGTGAACACAGACTGGTTTATGTTACCACAGACTGGTTCCTGTGAACACAGACTGGTTTATGTTACCACAGACTGGTTCCTGTGAACACAGACTGGTTTATGTTACCACAGACTGGTTCATGTTACCACAGACTGGTTCATGTGACCACAGACTGGTTCCTGTGAACACAGACTGGTTTATGTGACCACAGACTGGTTCATGTTACCACAGACTGGTTCATGTGAACACAGACTGGTTTATGTTACCACAGACTGGTTCCTGTGAACACAGACTGGTTTATGTTACCACAGACTGGTTCATGTGAACACAGACTGGTTCATGTGAACACAGACTGGTTTATGTTACCACAGACTGGTTTATGTGAACACAGACTGGTTTATGTTACCACAGACTGGTTTATGTTACTACAGACTGGTTTATGTGAACACAGACTGGTTCATGTGAACACAGACTGGTTTATGTTACTACAGACTGGTTTATGTTACTACAGACTGGTTTATGTGAACACAGACTGGTTCATGTGAACACAGACTGGTTCAGGTTACTACAGACTGGTTTATGTGAACACAGACTGGTTCATGTGAACACAGACTGGTTTATGTTACTACAGACTGGTTTATGTGAACACAGACTGGTTCATGTGAACACAGACTGGTTCAGGTTACTACAGACTGGTTTATGTGAACTGGTTTTTGTGTGTGTGTGTCTTCAGGCTCTGGACTACTGTCACAGTATGGGCATCATGCACCGGGACGTGAAGCCGCACAACGTGATGATCGATCACCAGCTCAGAAAGGTGATGGATGAGTCATCAGGAGTTGAACCCTGAAAGGCAGATTGAATGTGTGATTTTGTTTTATTGTGATAACAGTGAAACTGTCGTCCTGGATTAGGGTTAACCTTAAAGGAAGCCATCGTATGAACAGTGAGAAGTTTTAAAACCTTGGTAAGGAAATAGATCTCAGACGCATCCAGTCTAACACAGACTAAGTCGTTTATTCCAATCAGTGAGTGTTATTTGATGAGGGGGCGTGTCTGCCAGTACAAAGTTTCCTGGGGGGGTTCTCTCATGGTTCCTCGATCCTCGAGAGAATCACTCCCATGATTCCCCGCCAACCTGGACGTCGTCTTTGTTATTGTTTTCATTGAGAGCCCCCTGGTGGCGGGGTTTACGTACTGCGCCTTTAAATTGTTTTCTGTCCTAACCTAAACCCTTACCTGGACCTCTTAGCTCCATGAACCACTGTGCAGTCCATTTTCAAGGGTTTTTTTAAGTTGAGGTGACTGGATGTATTTTTTTCAACGACATCTCACAAGAAAAGGACGCTGAAGAAACAGTTGCTACTATTTTTTAGTGTTCAAAGAATCCGTTGCAAAAATATGGTTCAAGATAAAATCGCCATTAAAATGATGAAAACGACAAACAGGACCGGTGACAAGGGGCTTCCCTGGCGGAGGCCAACACACACTGGGAACGTGTCTTTGTGCCGAGGATGTGAACACAGCTCCCACTTTGGTCATACAGGGACTGGATAGCTCGCAGCAACCGCCCTGGGACCCCATATTCCAGCAGTACCCCCCCCCCCCATGGTCCCTCGAGGGACGAAGTCATAAGCCTTCTCCAAGTCCAAAACACACTAGTCTGGATGAGCAAATTCCATGACCACCCCTCCCGTCCCCCAAGAAGCCCTGCGAGGGTAAAGAGCTGGATCACTGTCCCATGGCCAGGATGGAATCCACATTGTTCCTCCTGTACCCGAGGTTTGACAAATCGGTCGGAGCGTCCTTTCCAGCAAACAAACATGGCCGTCGGTCAAGTTTGCATAAAGTTGCATTGATAGGTGCGATCGTGTCTTCCCGGGGAGAACCTTTTTGAATTAACAGATTGAAGGTAAAACTCCTGCTCTGTTGAAATAGCACAAACACATTGCTAAAGTATTTGTGTGGTTAGTGTGCAGGCGTTCACCTGCGATATTTGATAGTAATTTCTCTCCAACACTCCTGTCATATGGAACTGACCGTCTCAGGTTTTTTTAAAGCTTTGAGACTATCTGATATCGATATCATAAAAGAAACAGATTGTATTGAAGGAGTATCTGAGTCCTTGACACCCTGAGTTTCCTCTCTGCTTTAATCCCGATTGCTGAGTTGTTGTGTTCCTCTGTGTCTCAGCTGCGTCTCATAGATTGGGGGTTGGCAGAGTTTTACCATCCCGCTCAGGAATACAACGTCAGGGTGGCCTCTCGTTACTTTAAAGGCCCCGAGCTGCTAGTGGACTATCAGGTAAGAATCAGGGAGAGAAAAACGTCATGTTTGTGTCTCGTTCTCAATCATGTCACGTGTGTGATTGACTCTCTTCTCCCTCCTCAGATGTATGACTACAGTTTGGACATGTGGAGTTTAGGCTGCATGTTGGCCAGCATGATCTTTCTGAAGGAGCCATTTTTTCACGGCCAGGACAACTACGACCAGGTATTCACAAAAGCTGTTTTCACACATGCACTACAGAAAATATGTAGATCATTTCAGGAGGACCGCTTCGGATATTCTCATGATCTGGTTGTTCACACTTGCACCTCACAGCGGGAGACTATCCCTGTCAGACGGGGGGGCGTGGGGTGGGATATAATGTAGCGCTGTGCATCTTCACTGGTCTCACGATTAGATTCGATTACGATTATCCAGTTAACGATTCGATTCGATTGGATATCACGATGCATCACAATTCATCCTCAATTTTCTATATTACTGCACATGGCTACTTTTTCATAAACAGAGACAAGCAGTCTTATAAATATGAACTCCTTTTGTATCATTTAAATAGTGCTTTAGACAACAATGTCATTATCAATATTTTTACATTGTAAGTTAAAATTAATACATTATAGAGGTAGCCTACAGTAGCCTATAGGTAACAATAATACGTTTTTGTTTGTTTAGTTTATTACACGATAGAAAGACGTTTTTTGTTTCTTTCCTTTTTATTTCAGACGAGTTGTGTTAAGTTGCTACCGCTGTAAACACCTCATTTCCTGATATGGATGTTTCACATTAAAAGCACTTCAACTACAGATAGGTCGGGGACTTTTATTGTGAAGAAGTTGTCGGAAATAGAAAGTGTTTATCATCGAACGAACGCAGTTTTAGCGGAGGTGCACTTAGTAGCGGTGATTCTTGATGACGATCAACTGTGTTTACAGCCGCTGTCGCAGAATCAACATGAACGGCTGAGCTTACTTACGGCACGTTGTGAAAAAAGATCTCTGAAAAGGACTGAAGGCTAACCTGGGCGAGCTGCTCGGGTATCAATACGACCGCCTGACTTTAATCTGAGTGTGCGGTGGTGGACGAAGTGACAGAGTATTGTTGCATGTATTCAATTGCAGCAATGGAATGATATATATGTTATGTGTGTTTTATATTACCATGAATGTTCCTGTTATAAACTGACATATCATATGTGTTTGCTTTTCAGCTGGTCCGAATCGCTAAAGTTCTGGGCACCGATGAGCTTTTCGGCTACCTGCACAAATATCACATAGAGCTGGACACTCGCTTTAAAGACCTGCTGGGACAGTGAGTATGAGAGGAGGAGAAGACAACACTGACCAGAGTCAGCAGCTTCTTCCTAACAAGTCAAATATAGACTCAAACAAATCCTAACCCGCCCCTACACTGCAAGCTAACGCACGCTAGCAAAAGCTAACCGCCAGTGTTTGGTAACCCGCCTGTCCAACAGGAAGCAGACAAACTCCACGTCCACGGGTAAAAGATTCACCCTCGTTTAAGAACGAGCTTTATCCGCTTGGTGTTTCTCCTCACTGTGATTATATTTTCTCTTCTTTGCTGCTACGTCCATCTGAACCCTGCCCACTCCGAGCACACACTGAGTCCCGCCCTCTCCTCCTGCGGTTTTTGTCCTTTGTCGTCACATCCCTGATTCAGAGTCCAGAAAGTAAACGTTTCCTTGTGTTTGCAGACAAACCCGTAAGCGCTGGGAGCAGTTCATCCAGTCTGAGAACCAACACCTGGTCAGTCCTGAGGCTCTGGACCTGCTGGACAAACTGCTGCGCTACGACCACCAGCAGAGACTGACGGCTGCCGAGGCCATGCAGCACCCCTACTTCTGTTAGTCACACACAGGCACACACACACACACACACACACACACACACACACACACACACACACACACACACACACACACACTGCATGTTGTTTCTGGTAATGAAGCTGCTGCTTCCTTTTCATTGATTCTGCTAAAAAGAATGTTCAACTTTTTAATCGACCAACAGAAACCTTTGATGAAAAACAAGTTATTTAATCACCTGGACTCACCTGTGTTCACCTGTGTTTGCGTTATTGACCTGTGTTTGCTGGCTCTGTGTGTTTATCCCTCAGATCCTGTGGTGAAGGAACATGCAAACGCCAACACAGACGGCACGAAGGCCATCAGCGGCTCTAACGCTACATGATGAGCGGAGAGCAGGTAACACACACCTGATCCTTCAGTCCGATAGTTGTTCCAAAGTCACAATGTGTTGATCATACTGAGGTCATTCATGATTTTAGCTAATTGTCTTAAAATACTTTTAATGTGAGCTGGAATCCACCTTCTTTAACCTTTCACATAAAGCTCGGATTAAAACCAAAAATTCATAACGACTTTATTCTCGTAAAGTTACAACTTAACGTTATTTAGGAAGTGACCTGGCACCTCTCCAGCTACCAGACCAACTTCCATATTATGGTCCAAACAGGGACTTGAACCGGTGACCCTCTGGTTCCCAACCCAAGTCCACATGTACTAAGCTACTGGCGCCCCCAAAAACATAGACATTATTATCAGTGTAAAAACATAAATTAGTGACATCTGACTTTGAGTAGCGTCCCGCTCTATGTGAGCACAGCACTGTTAGTATTTTATATCTTTACTCATAATTATCCTCATATTTGGGTTATAAGACTAATGATGGGGAACTCAGCGATACCTTCTTCCACATCTTAATGTCTTTGTACATCGAGTCCGTTTTCTTCTAATGCATTTTTTCAATCCGAAAAAATTAATTCACAGTATGAGACAAAATGTCATCAAGCAGTGAAGATGATTTTGTGGTTCTTTCACTCTTTGAAAAAAAAAAAAAATGTGGTCCGTCCAAATGAAACCAAGACAAGAGTGAGGACTGGTTCACCTGCAGAATTCTCCCGATCGCTGCCAGGTGTATATAGGGATGTCAGTGGTGTGTTTGATACGCTGCTCTCTATTTTGGAATCATATGTTAAAAAGATTTCTGCAAAGCAACTGATCCTGAGCAGCAGCTGGCAGTTTGTTTGAGGTTGGGACAGTACGGACACAAGCACAGGGATGAACGCGGCAAATGCAGAAAATCAAACACGTTCCAAAGAAAGAAGACTAAAAAGGAATCAGTGTGCTAAGGCCTTTAGACTGTATCAGGGGGCCAACAGTCAAGCAGCTGTTAGAACTGATTACATTCAATCTTTATTTTTAACATGGAAACATTTCACTCCTGAAATCTTCAGTTTTCTCTTTGATATTTGTTTTGGTTCCGATAGGGATACCTACATTAGGAAGAGTAAAAATCAGATACCGATATATCAGCCGATATCTACTTGGTTCTATCTTCGATCTGTAGAGATTGATGGATATAGATTAACACATTTATTGAGTTGATCCCTCCAATGCAGTTAGACACTTGCACACTTGTAGAAAAGATTTATAATGAAGTTAAGATGGTCACTCAGCTGGACAGTAACTGAGCATGTACTGATGCTCGAACCCTCTGGAGAGATTGTTGTAATCCATATAGCGCCCCCTCTGATGGTTAAAGAGAACTTCTAGTATAAAACAGTGAAACTCAGAATGGTGAATAAATCAAGTCATGTCAGCGCATATCTGTGATAAAATTAGCCTATACCGATAGTCACTGGATATGCTGATACCGGAAGATATTATCAGTCTGCCTCTAATATTTATGATTTCTGACGTTGGAACTTTCTATTTAAAAAAAATCCAGAATTCAGGGTTTTCCCGACTTTAAGAAGACACCGACAGAAAGCGTTGGGCTGCGTAAACACACATTTTTATCGCTGTTTACTCAAAATAAGGAGGATTTCAGGACATGTATGAGCTGAAATGTGTGATCATTCTCTGTGCTAATGTTTGTGCTGACAGCCGCCGACACAGACGTTAGACGCAGTTTGTCAAGATGTCTCTAATCTCCACTTCAATAGTAAGAGAAACATGGCTGAAAGATTTTCACGGTAAAGAATGATTCTTGTTTGTTTTTATTTGCAGGAAGAATCTTTGTTACCTCAACGTGTGACCTTTTCGTGGCAGAACTTTCTGCCTCCACATCGACAGCCATACAGGAGCAAGATGTCAGTTTAACACAAACACACAGATTATACGTCTCCCTGCAGCCTGGGGATCTGCGCTGCTGGGTCCACGTCACAGATAAACAGGATCTGGACTCAGGTCTGACCCCCCTCCCTCCTCTCCTCCCCCTCCCCCTCCCTCCCTCCCTCCTGTTTGTAAAGAGTGAGCAGAGCGACTGTGGTTGGATCCGTGTCACGCCGGTGTTGTGCTGTAAAGACGTTTGTCGGTCATTACGACGCTGAGCTGAGCTGAGATCCAGCTCCAGGCTTTAGCACGGAGCGGCTCGGAGGCTCCGCTCTGCTCTGATAGAACAAAAGCTATATTAAGAGAATAAACCATTTTTATTTAAAGGACTCCTCTGTGTTCCTCATTTATTGACTCAGAGATGTGAAATTCTTCCTGTTCTGTTATCGCATGACGTCCACACAGCACGGTAACTTTGTACAAAAGAGGAACAGCGGTGCTCAGGGTACTTACAAAGTCTTGAATCCTAATTTTTTAAATTAAAGGTCATAGAAGTGACAACTAAAGCTTTAAAGGTACAGTATTTAAATTCAACATGACGTCAAGGATGGCAGCGAACTATGGGAGTGATTTTCTCTGCTAATCCACTGCTGCAGATAGTATAGAGCTCAACGGTTACAGAGTACAGTTTTGTACATTTTAACGTGACAGAATATATTGTCTTAACACATTGAACTAAATTGGGTGATACCACTTCCTCACTTTCTGGAGGGGAAACATATATGCATGTGTACAATTAGTACAAGAGAGAAATCAATTCCCCACCTGCCTTGTTTTAAAAGCATTACTGTTGCTCTCTATTTTTATGCTAGTTGGCAGAGAGTTCCAAAGTTTTGCCCCCTTTGCAGAGAAAGCAGACTAGCCAAACGATGTATTGTACATTGGGGCAAGACAATCATTATCATCATGATTATTTACACATTTAAAAAACAGTTTAAGATTACTACAATTCATGAAGTTGCCTAAGATGAAAAGGTGTTTTTTAAGTGCCACAGTGATGCCATCTCATTGGTCTCTGGTCCATGACTTGTATTGTCTGCTTGTATAATGAAACAATAGCTTTCAGTATTAATTGGGGTCAAGAAATATTTATTTCCGGTGATAAACACATTTTTGCTACTGGTTACTCATTGAACACAATGTAAGCACCTCTACAATATCATTTATGACATACTGTGTTTGCCCATCAGATGGCAGTATTGCAGTACTAATGGCAATCTGTTGAGGGCTATGGGGAAAATGAAAGAATTGGCTGTTGTTGGTTTCCATGTTAAAAAATTAAGATCCTGTCTGTCCAGTGGTCATATTGTTATTAAAGCCAAGGGGTATCTTTTTTTAATGTGGACTATGTAGGTTTGAATGATAATTGCATTTACATTGTGACCATTATGTTAGAAAAATCTAATTCAACATTTTTTCACTATAAATACAACAAGATATTTATTGCATATGATCATATTTGTATTTAACCATTTAAATTTCAGATTGATTTTGTGTTATTTGGTTATTATTCCCTGATTTCAGGGTGGTGCCCCATATTTTTATTTAGATTTATTATATTATTATTATTTAGATGAATGTTTATTCACATTTATAAGTAATTAATCATAATAATTAATAATAATATAATAGCCAAATGTATCACATCAAATCCCCCCATGAATGGTGCCCCTTGTGAGGCTTCAATAAAACAGCTTTATTGCAGCGTCAGTGCACAGTCATGCAGAATCTTCGGAGCAAACCAGAAGGAGACAAAGCTTTGTTTGAGATGACAGAATGTTAGCAGACGTGTTTTCTTGCTGAAAGTGTGGAAGTGACAGGAAGCTACTGTCCCCTCTTTACTGCATACCGCCACTGAATCTTTTAGTGGAAGGCCATGCTGAACCGGAGCGAACTACTTTCACTCCTGACTAAATCTCATGAATGATTTTAACATTTTAACACATTTACAGTTTTTACAATTAAAGTCTTTCCTTGTTTGTCCTTTAGTACTTTATTAGAATCCAAACAAAATTCGGTGTGACAAACAAATCAAAGTCAACGCGGTCATAGATTTCTATGTACAAAGTGCTGAGAAAAAAATATATTGAAGAAGTCGTGTAGTTTAAACTCTGTTGGAACTATATTAGTCCAAATCAATGACACAGAGGGATTAAATGTGAATGAAAATAGAGACTAAAGAGTTGTTCCCTTCTTCATCTGCCGCTTGAATAAAAAAAACAAAAATTCCATACTCAATAATGCTTACAGCTCACTTTGACATTTATTTGTGTCCATGTTTTGAAATGCACACAGTGTCTTTATCACAAGTTGAACCCTCTGACACGCTGACATTTCTTCTTTGGATTTGTCTGTATTGGTTTGAAATCCCTTCTCCTGATTAAATATGGCAGGAAATCATTTGTAGTATTTTCATTAT